CGGCCTGCTCGGCCAGCAGCTTGTCGCGCGTGGCCACGACCGACGGCTCGGTGATGCCCTTGAGCTTGCCGATGAGGTCGCCGACCTCGCGTAGCCTGTCCTTGGCGACGGACTCGGGGCCGTCTCCGTCCGCGGCCGGCTCCATCTGCACGTCCTCCCCGCCAGGCGGCGGCCTCTGCACAGCGGCAAGCCGCTTGCGGGCCTCGGCGAGCTCGGACTTGAGCTTGGCCACCTTGACGGAGTCGTCCCAGTAGCCGTTGCCGCTGCCGCCCTGATTGCCCTTCTTCCGCTGGGAGGGGGCCGCGGGCTGGCGCACGCTGTGGAAGACCAGTCCCTTGCCCAGCTTGCACTTCGCACACTGCCGCGCCTCTGCATGATTCCACCACGGTCTCCCCGAGGGCCCGCAGCAGCTCTTGCAGTACCAAGGAAGCGCCTGCTCCGAACGGTAATGCGGCGGTGGCATCTCCACGACACCAGGCAGCAGCACACACGGTGGGCCGTGGCAGCGCGATCTGGAAAGGACTGGGTGTGGGCGCCCAACTCCCACGGTGAAGGCGAGCGGTGGTCTGGCCGCGGACTAGCGGTATCCGTGCGGTCCCCAGGGGAACCAATCATCTTGAGCCAAAATGGCTACGGAGGAGGAGGAGGAGGAGGAGGAGGAGGAGGAGAGGAGTGAGGAGGAGGAGGAGGAGGAGGAGGAGGAGGAGAGGAGGAGGAGAGGAGGAGGAGGAGGAGGCAGCGGGGGCCCCCCCAGCGCCGCCCATGGCGCGCCCCCCGCGCGCCAAGGGCTGGTGTCCAGCGCTGGCCCAAGATATCAGCGCGGACCTCCGCAAAGTCGTGTTCATGCCATGCTTTGTTCCTCGATGTGAGAGGCAACTGGCCGGGCGCCGTGCCCGTGCCAGCTGCAGCTCCCGCCCGAGGCCCTGGAGGCCCAGCAGCGCCGGCCTCGGCGAGGAGGTCGCCGGTCGCTGCTCTCTAGGCGGACGTCCTCGCCTTCTCGGCCAGACGTCAGAGTGACCCTGGGTAAGAGTGGCCTTTGGTGCGCAGCTCTTGGGGGGCCGCGGGGGGGGTCAAACACAAGCGCGCAAGACCCTACTATCGCATCGCGCTCGGCGATCGGGGGACCCCCATGGGCCCGCACCAAAGGTCACCCCGGCGAAAGGTCACTCTTGCGTGTAGCCGACCTTCGGAGGGGCCAAATGCCCCGAGGTCCGGGCCGTCACAGATGCCAGGCAGCCTCGCGTCGCTGAGCTTCGGAAGCCCCCCCGTTCGGCGCCGAGCCGCCGCGCAGCCCGGCCCAGAGCCTCGGGGCGCGCAGCGGCAGCGCGCGCAGGGGGCTGGGCAGACCGCCGGGCTCGGGCCACGGCGCTCCAGCAGCAGCTCAGCGCAGAGATAGGAAGGCACCAACTATACACCAACACCGATCCTGGCCAGGATCAACCTGGTCCCAGGATCGGTGTATATGCCCTCCTGCCATGGGCAGAATGCATATACGCCGATCCTGGGCCTAGGGTGATCCTGGGCCAGGATCGGTGTTGGTGTATAGTTGTTGCCCTCCGAGAGACAGAGCAGTTCGCCGAGGGTCCTCGCTCGAGCACGGGGAGGCGAAGCGCGCCGCCCCCCTGCCCAGCCGCAGGCGCCCGAGCAGCAGGACGAGCTGCCTGCGCTCGTCGCAGCCATGCTGCTGTTCAGCGACGCCTTCGGCCCTGGCAACCTGCACGATCTCCAGCAGGTGAACGCCTGTGCCGCCAGGCCCAAGCCCGCTCCTCGTCCTGCAGCCGCGCGGGCGCCCGAGGATGAGGAAGTGCCTGGCAACCCCGAGGGGGTGAGGAGAAGGACGCCACCCACAAGCTGGCCGGTCCCCGCGGCAGCCCTTGAGGACCGCAAGCGGGCCCGGAACGCGATCGCCAGCGTCGGTGAGGGGCGCAGGGCCCCGCCCGACGCAGCAGGGCGGCCCGCAGCCGCAGCCTGCCGCCGGCCCCGCCGCCGCGCCGGGCGCAAGCGGTGGGCAAGGCGGAGCCCACCCCGCTTGCCCGGAGGCGGCGGCGGTGGCCCGACGACCTTGCCAGGCTGGTCTCTCTCTCTCTCTCTCTCTCTTAGTTTCTCGGCCAAGCTGCAGGTGCAGTGCCTGCTGGCCGAAGAGGGCCGGGGGCCTCCTCGAGCCCTCGCGCGCCAGGCCCGCGCAGGTGCCGCCGAAGCGCCCGGCCGCGCCAGGCGCACGGTCCCCAGCGCGAGCGGCATCGTGCAAGGAGCTTGGAGGGCAGGCCTATTCCAACATCGTTGATGAGTCTTGGGTTTACACTGGTTCTCCTCCTCCTCCTCCTCCTCATCCTCCTCCTCCTCCTCCTCCTCTTCCTCCTCCTCCTCGTCTTTCTCCTCTTATTCCTCCTCCTCCTCCTCCTCCTCGTCTTTCTCCTCTTATTCCTCCTCACCCTATCACACTGGAAGCAACAACACATACTCCATATCAGAGAATAAGCGGGCGGCGGAGAAAAAAACTGAACGAGTAACTGGCGTATCGACGAGAACGGCGGCGAGACAAACCAGCAAATGCAAATCAGCTGGAACTTCCGATAAAAAATGGCGGCGAATCGTCTTGTAACCAGCACGGAATGATTATGGCGGGCTCTGTTCTGGAATCAGTTTAATAAAACTTCAGCGGATATACACATATATACACACATGTTTACACTATATCTACATATACATATATATATATATATATGTGTATACATACATACATACATACATACATACATACATACATACATACATACATACATACATACATACATACATACATACATACATACATACATACATGCATACACATAACAATATAACTATCTATTATTATATATAAAAAACTCGGAATTCAAGCGCGGGCGCAAGCGCTCCCAGGCGTTCCCAGGCGCCTCCTGGCGTTCCCAGGCGTTTGTATGCGCTCCTGGGCGACCTCCCCCCAGCACTCGCAAGCACTCGCAAGCGCTCGCAAGCGCGCGCAGGCGCTCCCAGGCGCTCGCATGCGCTGTCAGGCGTCCGCCGGGGCACTCGCAAGCGCCCGCGAGCGCGCGCGGGCGCTCCCAGGCGCTGGAGTTAGCAACCTCATATGACAAAACAAGCGCGGGGAAGAAACAACAAAATGGCGGCGGGCTCGCCGGCCAAAATCAGTTCAAAATGACGGCGGCGGCGGGGGGCGCCCAGTCAGTACTGCAGTGAGCACCGAAGAAACCGTAGTGATCTCCTCCTCCTCCTTCTCCTCCTCCTCCTCCTCCTCTTCACCTTCTCTTCCTGCTTCCTCATACCTTCTTCCCTCCTCCCTACTCACTCCCCCCTCCCCTCCAAGTCCTTCTGGTCCCCCTCATCCTCGTCATCCTCGGCCTCCCCGTCGTCGTCCTCGACGAGGGGGAGAATGCGAACGCAGAGCGCAACGAAATGGGCATGGAGTGAGGTGCGCAGCGCACGGCAGGACCAGAGCCTGCCTCAAAGATGCGCCTTGGGGCCAATCGCCCCCCGAGTGGACCCACCCTGCCCCCCGCGGTCCTCCGTCTGGCGGCGGGGGATTACCAGCCTGGAACATATCCCTATCCCTATGTTGGGCATCGCCTCATCATGACGACGATCTTAGGGATTTCCTCAGTTTCTGAGGATAAGCGGGCGGCGGAGAAAAACACCTGAAACAGTAACTGACGAATCGAGAAAAACGGCGGCGAGGCAAAAAAACGAATGCGAATCAGTTGGAACTCCCCATTAACCAGTGCGGAATTATTCTGGTGGCCTGCATTGTAAAATCAGTGAATAAATCTACAACGAGTATAACAACATATTCGGAACCCAAATCAACATACGTAGTGATACATTAACACATCCTACTTTATGCAAAAACGGACGGGACGTCAAAACAACGTCGCATGCAGCGAGTATGCAACTGATCTGATTATCTCGAACGCTTTTTTTGGAGTCCCCTTGAAGAACATGCCGTGCAACGCGACTCTCCAGATACATATTTGCAATTCTATTAAAGGGCGTGCCGCGTGACGCGGAATGGCCATGCTTTTCAAATCCCAGCCAAGCGACATATTTCAACCCGCCCGCGGGCGCAACCGCAACCGCAACTAATTGGGCGACAACAAGATGGCGGCGGGCTCGCCGGCCAAAATCAGTTCAAAATGACGGAGGCAGGGGAGGGGGGCGCCCAGTCAGTACTGCAGTGAGCACCGAAGAAGCTGTCGTGATGGGGAGAGGGGCGCACGCGCCCGAAGAGGAGCCGCCCACCCCGGGCCTCCGCGCCGCTCCGGCCGCTCTGGCCGCACTTGGCGCGAGCCGCAGCCCAAGGCGGCGGGGGAGGAGGAGGGGGAGGAGAGGAGGAGGAGGAGGAGGAGAGGAGTGAGGAGGCAGAGGAGGAGGAGGAGGACGAGGAGGAGGAGGAGAGGAGGAGGAGGAGGAGGAGGAGGACGTAGGTAGGAGGGGGACGGAGGGGGAGGGAGAGGAGGAGGGGAGGAGGGGGAGGAGGAGGAGGGGGAGGAGGAGGAGATGGAGGAGGAGGATGGGAGGAGGAGGAGGAGGAGGAGGAGGAGGAGGAGGAGGAAGCAGGAGAACGAGGAGGAGGAGGAGGAGGAGTGAGAGGAGGAGGACGACCGACGAGGAGGAGGAGGGGAGGAGGAGGAGGAGGATGAGGAGGACGACCGAGGAGGACGAGGAGGAGGGAGAGGAGGAGGAGGAGGAGGAGGAAGTAGAATGAGGAGGTAGGGAGGAGGAAGGAGGAGAGGAGGAGGAGGAGGAGGAGGAGGAGGATGAGGGGGGGGGATGGGGGGAGGAGGGGAGGAGGAGGAGGAGAAGGAGGAGGAGGAGGAGGAGGAGGAGGAGGAGGAGGAGGAGGAGGATGGGAGGAGGAGGAGAAGGAGGAGAACAGGAAGCAGAAGGGGGAAGATGAGGAGGCATCTTGGGGCGCCTCCTGGTGGTTTCCTGGCGGATTTGAGGGGACAGGAGCTCGGGGGCACCACGCGCCGCCGTGCACGTAGAGGATCCGCGGGGAGGAGCAGCCCACGCCCTCAGGCCACCACATGAGGTCCTTGCTGCGGCGTTCGATGGGGAGCGGGGCGGGGCGAAAACTGCGCCTCGGAAGGCCACGGGGGGAGGGAGGAGATGGGGGGGAGGAAGGAGGAGCCGATCGGGGGGAGGGGGCGGTGGAGGGGCGCGGAGGAAGGGGACGTTCTGGACTGGGCCTGGCGCTGCACCAGCTGTGTGACGCCTGTGCGCAGGGTGAGCCTGGAGAGCGGCACGGTGCCACGCTCAGACGCTGCCGATGTCTGGGCCGCGGCTCGCTCGCCTTCCGGAGCTGGGGCCACGTTGGCTGACTCGACACGGGGCCCCCCCGCTGAGGTGAGGAGAATGGAGGCGAGGGGTAACATTATAAAACAAGTAGACGAACAAGGGAAAGGCAGAAGGTTGGGTTGGCCAAAGAGGACTAATCAGCCACTCAAGCCAGGGGGGGCACGTGGCTCCGAGCGGCCCGCTGGCACGGCCGCACCTAGCATCGTGCTTCCGTGTGGCAAGCAGCGAAAAAGTGCCAAGATTCGGCGCTGAGGCCCGAGGCAGCGAAGTAGGGGAAAAGGAAGGGGAGGAGGAGGAGGAGGAGGAGGAGGAGGAGGAGGAGGAGGAGGAGGAGGAGGAGGAGGAGGAGGAGGAGGAGGAGGAGGAGCAGGGGAAAAGTAAGGGGAGGAACGTGTAATGAGGAGAGGGGAGGGGGAACGAACGAAGGCTGTTGAAGAAGCCAGCACGCATCTGAGTGAGCACTACCCTGCCATCCCCTTCTCCTGGTTAGGCAGGCTGCCACTCTTGCAATCCTAGGACGGCAGAACACATGCTGCTTGGGCCTGAATGCACCTAGACAAATCGCGTGAGTAGGCGGGAACAATCGAGCCAAGAAACAAAAGTGCCGCAGCGCCTGTTGGATAACTCGCCCCGTGCGAGCCGTCCCATGTCTCTTTGTAAGGCTTCGCAGCCGTGAGCTGTATGCTCGAGATTCTGCACCCTGGAGGAAGAGGCGTGAGGAGAGGAGGGCGAATCGCGCGTCCAAGTCTTACAGAAATGGATGGAGGAGGATGGAGGTCTCCAGTTACAGAGCGACTGGGGGCTGCATGCGCCTCTGAAAGAGTGGAGGAGGGGGGAGGAGGAGGGGGGGGAGGAGGAGGGGGAGGAGGAGGGGAGGAGGAGGAGGAGGAGAGGGAGGAGGAGGAGGAGGAGGAGGAGGAGGAGGAGGGGGAGGAGGAGAGGAGGAGGACTTTTTTTTTTAGGATGGAGGAGGAGGAAGGAGGGGCGGAGGTCTCCAGTGCGCAGTGCAGCTGGGCAGGCGCCTCTGGAGAGAAAGGCGCACGCGGGGCCGCCAGGCCCTGCGCTTCTCATAGAGAAGCCCGTGGACGAGGCTCTCTCCTTTGGGGGTGGACAGAACCCCCAACAGTGACACGTCGATTAGTGAATTGTCCGTTTTCGGTTCTCGAGAGGGCGCCGCGGCCGTTATTTTCCAGGCTTGCGCCCGCCAGGTTTGGGCCCGAGGTCGTTTTCACTAAACCACGTTTTACTAAAGGGAGGTCTGTCCATCCCCGCCTCCTCCCCTCCCCGAATCTCCCTCCCCCAGCACCACCAAGCTGACCCTCCCTCTGTGCACAGCGACCCTGGCCGCTGGAAGACCTACAAGGCTCGTCAAAAATATGCAGACATGCATTCGGAAGTCACGGCGATCGACATGTTCGAGCGGTGGTCAGAAACTGCGTTCTTCAATGCTGCGAGGGGTGTGCCGGATGTTTGACACCCCTCGCGTCCAAGTCACTGATCTGGTGTTAGCACTGGAGTAGCGCTGACCATACAAGTACCGAAAACATAATACTTCTGCTTATTTTTGACGAGTGTTGTAGAACGGTTGGCGATAGGCTCGACCTCAGTCTCCGCTGCCGCTGAACCCTCTGGGGGGGGGAGGGCGGAGGAGGGAGGCGAGCGGAAGAGGAGGGAGCACGATAAAGATGGAGAGGGCAAGACGGAAGAACGGACGGGGGCGGAGGTCGTGGCGGACGGCGTGCCGTACCAAGCCAGGCTCTGGCTCGGGCGGAAGCGTGCTGAGTGGAGAGGGGGATGATGATGATGGGGGATGATGATGATGATGATGATGATGATGATGATGATGATGATGATGATGATGATGATGATGATGATGATGATGATGATGATGATGATGACGACGGGGGATGAGGATGTGGGGAGGGCAGGCAGGGGGATGGGGGTGCGAGAGAGGAAAGGGAGAGGGGGAGGGAAGGGCGGAGACCGGAGGGAGACGACGGAGGGCAAGAGTGTGAGATACTGGTATATACGAGGTGGGGGGAAGAAGGGGAACACTTCATCGAAAGGTGCACGTCGGCACCCCCAGTGACATCATGAGAAAGGAAGGTGCGCGTCGACACCACTGGTAACACTTCCGCAACATGGGGGCGATAAGAGAGAGAGGTGTGCATGGGGTTGGCCCGACTGCACCCTAATAAGTATGGTCCTCGCCCCGCTCTCCCGCGACATCGTCGTAGCACCAGTCGTCGTCGCAAGACCAAGTCGTGTTCGGCCGTCGGATCCGTTGGTGGCTCACGCCCTCCATAGGCTTGCCTGGGAGACCCCGCGTTACGCCCTCCCAGTCCAACCCACCCACCCGAAAAAGCAACTCCACCATCCCCTCTTCTTCCTCCTCCTCCTCCTCCTCCTCCTCCTCCTCCTTCTACTCCTCTCCCTGTCCCTTCCCCCGACAATTCCTTCTCCTTGTTTGTTCTCCTGCTCCTCTGGGCCGATGGGAAGGGAGATGCGGGAATGGGACTGGTAGGTGTATTCGGGTTTCTCCGATTGCCGTAGTTGTTGTCCACGCAGCACTCGCCATCGCGATGCAGCTTCTCGCGGCAGGTGAACCCCGCCTGCGGATCCTCAGCCTCCTCCTCGTCCTCGTCCTCGTCCTCGTTCTCGTCCTCCTCCTCCTCCTCCTCCTCCTC